GTAGTTGAAACTACCGGGCAATCTTCGACTGGCACTACATATGGAGTCAAGTCGACCACAAGCAGTCCAAGTACATCAGTACAACCGACTACAGCTGCAGGGTCTACAACGACAGATCAAGGTAGCACCTTGCAAAGAACCACATTTCGTACAGTGCCGGCAACAACAGATCGAAGCACTGTCACATCAACTCTTGAAGAGACCACAGTGATTAGTACAACTGCAGAACTGACCAGCACACTGGAATCGTCTACCCTCATGACTTCCACAACGGCTGGGATGAGCTCGACAAGTGCTACAAGCCCAATTGTCATCACATCTGAAGGACCTTCAACTGGTGGACTTTCTACAGCTCATTCTACAACTTTCACAACTGTTTGGATGAGCTCGACAAGTAGCAGCCCAAGAAGTACAGTCCAGTCGACAACACTTTCGGAAACGTCAGTCGAATCGACAACATATCCGGAATCTACATCGTTTGAGCAAAGAACGACTGGGCAAAGAACCAGAGTTCCCACTTTGCCTGTAACAACAGAGCAAAGCACTTTGACCTCAACGTTGGCAGAGACCACCACCACAGTGTCTAGTACAACAACAGAAAGTGCTAGCACATCGTCTTCCGCCACGTCTACAACACAAGGTGCCACAAGCACAATCGTTGCCACAACGGAGGGTCATTCCACTGTAGTTGAAACTACCGGGCAATCTTCGACTGGCACAACATACGGAGTCAAGTCGACCACAAGCAGTCCAAGTACATCAGTAGAACCGACTACAGCTGCAGAGTCTACAACGACAGATCAAGGTAGCACCTTGCAAAGAACCACATTTCGTACAGTGCCGGCAACAACAGATCGAAGCACTGTAACATCCACTCTTGAAGAGACCACAGTGATTAGTACAACTGCAGAACTGACCAGTACACTGGAATCGTCTACCCTCATGAATTCCACAACGGCTGGGATGAGCTCGACAAGTGCTACAAGCCCAATTGTCATCACATCTGAAGGACCTTCAACTGGTGGACAGTCGCCACGTCATTGGTCGACAATAATTACAGGTTCGTGCTTTTTTATATTTTGATTATGACATTTATCTTATATTATTCACTTAATTTAATCAATCGTCGCTGGCCTATGCTCCACACGGGGTCAAGGGCCCAGGTAAGGTTAGGTAATGGGAGCGTGAGTGAAGTCTATTTTTTGTGTTATGATAGTAAAGTGACAGTGTATCTTCGTGCATATGTTGGCTGAAATTAAGAAAAGAGGTTTTGTGACTTTGTCTTTACATCACTAACGTCATTTAAGGTAAGTTTTGATGGAATGCCGTAAAGGAACACATCAATAGATATCAGTTATGAAGAATATATTCATGCATGCATACCCCAAGGTAGGTATAACCCAAGCACACACAACTGTTCTTACACCTCTTTATTTGTAACGACAGAACTTTCTAAATCGACTTCGACGGAATCTACCTCATTGCAAAATAGTATATCTCATACGACGAACAATGACACACCGACTAAGACCCCGACAGAACAACAAAGTACAGATAATAGTCGATTAACAACAATGGAGCCTAGCATTTCGCAAGGCAGCATATTCTCAACTGTACCGCTAACAACAGAACAAAGCACGTTAACGCCTTCGTTGGCGGGAACTAGGGAAGGCAAAACAAAAGGGACGACTACAATTCAACAATCTACACAGGTAGAGCAAAGTACCAACGCGCAAAGGACCAAAGTTCCAACAGAGAAAAGCACGCTGACGCCCTCCCTGGCACAGACAACCATGCCTAGTACGACAACAGAAACGACAACACTGTCTCCATCTACGACAGCACAGAAAATTACGACTGCGCAAAGAACAAAAGTTCCCACAGTGCAGCTAACAACAGAGCAAAGCACTGTGACGCCTTCCTTGGCAGAAACTACTGTGGCTAGTACAACAGACATGGCTACCACATTCGGATCTACTTCCCCCACGACAACGAGTAGTCCGACAAGCACAATGATTGTCTCCTCGGAAGGTCCTTCTACCGTAGTGGAGACTACAAGATATTCGACCACTGGTACAACATATGGAATTAGCTCGACCAAGAGCAGTCCAAGTACATCAATTCTAACGACTACAGGTGCACCATCCACACCTGAACATCAAAGTACCACTTTGGAAAGAACTACTTTCCGTACAGTGCCAGCAACAACAGATCGAAGCACTGTGACATCGACTCTAGAAGAGACCACTCTTCCCAGAACAACTACGGACCAGACAAGCACACTTGAACCGTCTTCCAAATATTCAACAGCAAGTGCTACAAGCACTCTTGAAAGCACATCCGAAGGTCGTTTAACTAGTGTACAGTCTACGGCCTATTCTACAGCTGGCACTACGACCAGAATAAGCTCGACAACAGGCCCAAGAACGTCCGTCTACTCGACAGAGCAAAGTACCACCGCGCAAAGGACCAAACTTCCAACAGTGCTTGTAACAACAGAGCAAAGCACGTTGACGCCCTCCTTGGCACAGACAACCATGTCTAGTACGACAACAGAGACGACAACAATGTCTAGATCTACGACAGCAGAGAAAATTACGACTGCGCAAAGAACAAAAGTTCCCACAGTGCAGCTAACAACAGAGCAAAGCACTGTGACGCCTTCCTTGGCAGAAACTACTGTGGCTAGTACAACAGACATGGCTACCACATTCGGATCTACTTCCCCACGACAACGAGTAGTCCCACAAGCACAATGATTGTCTCCTCGGAAGGTCCTTCTACCGTAGTGGAGACTACAAGATATTCGACCACTGGTACAACATATGGAATTAGCTCGACCAAGAGCAGTCCAAGTACATCAATTCTAACGACTACAGGTGCACCATCCACACCTGAACATCAAAGTACCACTTTGGAAAGAACTACTTTCCGTACAGTGCCAGCAACAACAGATCGAAGCACTGTGACATCGACTCTAGAAGAGACCACTCTTCCCAGAACAACTACGGACCAGACAAGCACACTTGAACCGTCTTCAACCAAATATTCAACAGCAAGTGCTACAAGCACTCTTGAAAGCACATCCGAAGGTCGTTTAACTAGTGTACAGTCTACGGCCTATTCTACAGCTGGCACTACGACCAGAATAAGCTCGACAACAGGCCCAAGAACGTCCGTCTACTCGACAGAGCAAAGTACCACCGCGCAAAGGACCAAACTTCCAACAGTGCTTGTAACAACAGAGCAAAGCACGTTGACGCCCTCCTTGGCACAGACAACCATGTCTAGTACGACAACAGAGACGACAACAATGTCTAGATCTACGACAGCAGAGAAAATTACGACTGCGCAAAGAACAAAAGTTCCCACAGTGCAGCTAACAACAGAGCAAAGCACTGTGACGCCTTCCTTGGCAGAAACTACTGTGGCTAGTACAACAGACATGGCTACCACATTCGGATCTACTTCCCCCACGACAACGAGTAGTCCCACAAGCACAATGATTGTCTCCTCGGAAGGTCCTTCTACCGTTGTGGAGACTACAAGATATTCGACCACTGGTACAACATATGGAATTAGCTCGACCACGAGCAGTCCAAGTACATCAATTCTAACGACTACAGGTGCACCATCCACACCTGAACATCAAAGTACCACTTTGGAAAGAACTACTTTCCGTACAGTGCCAGCAACAACAGATCGAAGCACTGTGACATCGACTCTAGAAGAGACCACTCTTCCCAGAACAACTACGGACCAGACAAGCACACTTGAACCGTCTTCAACCAAATATTCAACAGCAAGTGCTACAAGCACTCTTGAAAGCACATCCGAAGGTCGTTTAACTAGTGTACAGTCTACGGCCTATTCTACAGCTGGCACTACGACCAGAATAAGCTCGACAACAGGCCCAAGAACGTCCGTCTACTCGACAGAGCAAAGTACCACCGCGCAAAGGACCAAACTTCCAACAGTGCTTGTAACAACAGAGCAAAGCACGTTGACGCCCTCCTTGGCACAGACAACCATGTCTAGTACGACAACAGAGACGACAACAATGTCTAGATCTACGACAGCAGAGAAAATTACGACTGCGCAAAGAACAAAAGTTCCCACAGTGCAGCTAACAACAGAGCAAAGCACTGTGACGCCTTCCTTGGCAGAAACTACTGTGGCTAGTACAACAGACATGGCTACCACATTCGGATCTACTTCCCCCACGACAACGAGTAGTCCCACAAGCACAATGATTGTCTCCTCGGAAGGTCCTTCTACCGTTGTGGAGACTACAAGATATTCGACCACTGGTACAACATATGGAATTAGCTCGACCACGAGCAGTCCAAGTACATCAATTCTAACGACTACAGGTGCACCATCCACACCTGAACATCAAAGTACCACTTTGGAAAGAACTACTTTCCGTACAGTGCCAGCAACAACAGATCGAAGCACTGTGACATCGACTCTAGAAGAGACCACTCTTCCCAGAACAACTACGGACCAGACAAGCACACTTGAACCGTCTTCAACCAAATATTCAACAGCAAGTGCTACAAGCACTCTTGAAAGCACATCCGAAGGTCGTTTAACTAGTGTACAGTCTACGGCCTATTCTACAGCTGGCACTACGACCAGAATAAGCTCGACAACAGGCCCAAGAACGTCCGTCTACTCGACAGAGCAAAGTACCACCGCGCAAAGGACCAAACTTCCAACAGTGCTTGTAACAACAGAGCAAAGCACGTTGACGCCCTCCTTGGCACAGACAACCATGTCTAGTACGACAACAGAGACGACAACAATGTCTAGATCTACGACAGCAGAGAAAATTACGACTGCGCAAAGAACAAAAGTTCCCACAGTGCAGCTAACAACAGAGCAAAGCACTGTGACGCCTTCCTTGGCAGAAACTACTGTGGCTAGTACAACAGACATGGCTACCACATTCGGATCTACTTCCCCCACGACAACGAGTAGTCCCACAAGCACAATGATTGTCTCCTCGGAAGGTCCTTCTACCGTTGTGGAGACTACAAGATATTCGACCACTGGTACAACATATGGAATTAGCTCGACCACGAGCAGTCCAAGTACATCAATTCTAACGACTACAGGTGCACCATCCACACCTGAACATCAAAGTACCACTTTGGAAAGAACTACTTTCCGTACAGTGCCAGCAACAACAGATCGAAGCACTGTGACATCGACTCTAGAAGAGACCACTCTTCCCAGAACAACTACGGACCAGACAAGCACACTTGAACCGTCTTCAACCAAATATTCAACAGCAAGTGCTACAAGCACTCTTGAAAGCACATCCGAAGGTCGTTTAACTAGTGTACAGTCTACGGCCTATTCTACAGCTGGCACTACGACCAGAATAAGCTCGACAACAGGCCCAAGAACGTCCGTCTACTCGACAGAGCAAAGTACCACCGCGCAAAGGACCAAACTTCCAACAGTGCTTGTAACAACAGAGCAAAGCACGTTGACGCCCTCCTTGGCACAGACAACCATGTCTAGTACGACAACAGAGACGACAACAATGTCTAGATCTACGACAGCAGAGAAAATTACGACTGCGCAAAGAACAAAAGTTCCCACAGTGCAGCTAACAACAGAGCAAAGCACTGTGACGCCTTCCTTGGCAGAAACTACTGTGGCTAGTACAACAGACATGGCTACCACATTCGGATCTACTTCCCCCACGACAACGAGTAGTCCCACAAGCACAATGATTGTCTCCTCGGAAGGTCCTTCTACCGTTGTGGAGACTACAAGATATTCGACCACTGGTACAACATATGGAATTAGCTCGACCACGAGCAGTCCAAGTACATCAATTCTAACGACTACAGGTGCACCATCCACACCTGAACATCAAAGTACCACTTTGGAAAGAACTACTTTCCGTACAGTGCCAGCAACAACAGATCGAAGCACTGTGACATCGACTCTAGAAGAGACCACTCTTCCCAGAACAACTACGGACCAGACAAGCACACTTGAACCGTCTTCAACCAAATATTCAACAGCAAGTGCTACAAGCACTCTTGAAAGCACATCCGAAGGTCGTTTAACTAGTGTACAGTCTACGGCCTATTCTACAGCTGGCACTACGACCAGAATAAGCTCGACAACAGGCCCAAGAACGTCCGTCTACTCGACAGAGCAAAGTACCACCGCGCAAAGGACCAAACTTCCAACAGTGCTTGTAACAACAGAGCAAAGCACGTTGACGCCCTCCTTGGCACAGACAACCATGTCTAGTACGACAACAGAGACGACAACAATGTCTAGATCTACGACAGCAGAGAAAATTACGACTGCGCAAAGAACAAAAGTTCCCACAGTGCAGCTAACAACAGAGCAAAGCACTGTGACGCCTTCCTTGGCAGAAACTACTGTGGCTAGTACAACAGACATGGCTACCACATTCGGATCTACTTCCCCCACGACAACGAGTAGTCCCACAAGCACAATGATTGTCTCCTCGGAAGGTCCTTCTACCGTTGTGGAGACTACAAGATATTCGACCACTGGTACAACATATGGAATTAGCTCGACCACGAGCAGTCCAAGTACATCAATTCTAACGACTACAGGTGCACCATCCACACCTGAACATCAAAGTACCACTTTGGAAAGAACTACTTTCCGTACAGTGCCAGCAACAACAGATCGAAGCACTGTGACATCGACTCTAGAAGAGACCACTCTTCCCAGAACAACTACGGACCAGACAAGCACACTTGAACCGTCTTCAACCAAATATTCAACAGCAAGTGCTACAAGCACTCTTGAAAGCACATCCGAAGGTCGTTTAACTAGTGTACAGTCTACGGCCTATTCTACAGCTGGCACTACGACCAGAATAAGCTCGACAACAGGCCCAAGAACGTCCGTCTACTCGACAGAGCAAAGTACCACCGCGCAAAGGACCAAACTTCCAACAGTGCTTGTAACAACAGAGCAAAGCACGTTGACGCCCTCCTTGGCACAGACAACCATGTCTAGTACGACAACAGAGACGACAACAATGTCTAGATCTACGACAGCAGAGAAAATTACGACTGCGCAAAGAACAAAAGTTCCCACAGTGCAGCTAACAACAGAGCAAAGCACTGTGACGCCTTCCTTGGCAGAAACTACTGTGGCTAGTACAACAGACATGGCTACCACATTCGGATCTACTTCCCCCACGACAACGAGTAGTCCCACAAGCACAATGATTGTCTCCTCGGAAGGTCCTTCTACCGTTGTGGAGACTACAAGATATTCGACCACTGGTACAACATATGGAATTAGCTCGACCACGAGCAGTCCAAGTACATCAATTCTAACGACTACAGGTGCACCATCCACACCTGAACATCAAAGTACCACTTTGGAAAGAACTACTTTCCGTACAGTGCCAGCAACAACAGATCGAAGCACTGTGACATCGACTCTAGAAGAGACCACTCTTCCCAGAACAACTACGGACCAGACAAGCACACTTGAACCGTCTTCAACCAAATATTCAACAGCAAGTGCTACAAGCACTCTTGAAAGCACATCCGAAGGTCGTTTAACTAGTGTACAGTCTACGGCCTATTCTACAGCTGGCACTACGACCAGAATAAGCTCGACAACAGGCCCAAGAACGTCCGTCTACTCGACAGAGCAAAGTACCACCGCGCAAAGGACCAAACTTCCAACAGTGCTTGTAACAACAGAGCAAAGCACGTTGACGCCCTCCTTGGCACAGACAACCATGTCTAGTACGACAACAGAGACGACAACAATGTCTAGATCTACGACAGCAGAGAAAATTACGACTGCGCAAAGAACAAAAGTTCCCACAGTGCAGCTAACAACAGAGCAAAGCACTGTGACGCCTTCCTTGGCAGAAACTACTGTGGCTAGTACAACAGACATGGCTACCACATTCGGATCTACTTCCCCCACGACAACGAGTAGTCCCACAAGCACAATGATTGTCTCCTCGGAAGGTCCTTCTACCGTTGTGGAGACTACAAGATATTCGACCACTGGTACAACATATGGAATTAGCTCGACCACGAGCAGTCCAAGTACATCAATTCTAACGACTACAGGTGCACCATCCACACCTGAACATCAAAGTACCACTTTGGAAAGAACTACTTTCCGTACAGTGCCAGCAACAACAGATCGAAGCACTGTGACATCGACTCTAGAAGAGACCACTCTTCCCAGAACAACTACGGACCAGACAAGCACACTTGAACCGTCTTCAACCAAATATTCAACAGCAAGTGCTACAAGCACTCTTGAAAGCACATCCGAAGGTCGTTTAACTAGTGTACAGTCTACGGCCTATTCTACAGCTGGCACTACGACCAGAATAAGCTCGACAACAGGCCCAAGAACGTCCGTCTACTCGACAGAGCAAAGTACCACCGCGCAAAGGACCAAACTTCCAACAGTGCTTGTAACAACAGAGCAAAGCACGTTGACGCCCTCCTTGGCACAGACAACCATGTCTAGTACGACAACAGAGACGACAACAATGTCTAGATCTACGACAGCAGAGAAAATTACGACTGCGCAAAGAACAAAAGTTCCCACAGTGCAGCTAACAACAGAGCAAAGCACTGTGACGCCTTCCTTGGCAGAAACTACTGTGGCTAGTACAACAGACATGGCTACCACATTCGGATCTACTTCCCCCACGACAACGAGTAGTCCCACAAGCACAATGATTGTCTCCTCGGAAGGTCCTTCTACCGTTGTGGAGACTACAAGATATTCGACCACTGGTACAACATATGGAATTAGCTCGACCACGAGCAGTCCAAGTACATCAATTCTAACGACTACAGGTGCACCATCCACACCTGAACATCAAAGTACCACTTTGGAAAGAACTACTTTCCGTACAGTGCCAGCAACAACAGATCGAAGCACTGTGACATCGACTCTAGAAGAGACCACTCTTCCCAGAACAACTACGGACCAGACAAGCACACTTGAACCGTCTTCAACCAAATATTCAACAGCAAGTGCTACAAGCACTCTTGAAAGCACATCCGAAGGTCGTTTAACTAGTGTACAGTCTACGGCCTATTCTACAGCTGGCACTACGACCAGAATAAGCTCGACAACAGGCCCAAGAACGTCCGTCTACTCGACAGAGCAAAGTACCACCGCGCAAAGGACCAAACTTCCAACAGTGCTTGTAACAACAGAGCAAAGCACGTTGACGCCCTCCTTGGCACAGACAACCATGTCTAGTACGACAACAGAGACGACAACAATGTCTAGATCTACGACAGCAGAGAAAATTACGACTGCGCAAAGAACAAAAGTTCCCACAGTGCAGCTAACAACAGAGCAAAGCACTGTGACGCCTTCCTTGGCAGAAACTACTGTGGCTAGTACAACAGACATGGCTACCACATTCGGATCTACTTCCCCCACGACAACGAGTAGTCCCACAAGCACAATGATTGTCTCCTCGGAAGGTCCTTCTACCGTAGTGGAGACTACAAGATATACGACCACTGGTACGACATATGGAATTAGCTCGACCAAGAGCAGTCCAAGTACATCAATTCTAACGACTACAGGTGCACCATCCACACCTGAACATCAAAGTACCACTTTGGAAAGAACTACTTTCCGTACAGTGCCAGCAACAACAGATCGAAGCACTGTGACATCGACTCTAGAAGAGACAACTGTTCCGAGAACAACTACGGAGCAGACAAGCACACTTGAATCGTATTCAACCAAATCTTCAACAGCAAGTGCTACAAGCACTCTTGTCAGCACATCCGAAGGTCGTTCAACTAGTGTACAATCTACGTCTTATTCTACGGCTGGCATAACGAATAGATTGAGCTCTACAACTGGCTCAAGAACGTCCGGCCACTCGACAATACTTCCTGAAACTACACCGGTAGAGGAAAGCACGACCGGGCAAAGGTCAATCACAGACGTGGCATTTACCACCACAGATCACACGGCCAAATCTTACTCTACAGTGACAAGAAGCCAGACAATGACCATAACAACACCTTCACTGATTACTACTGACAGACAAACTACTTTCAGGACAGAACGACCAAGTACAGAAACCCCTATTTTCACTACTATTACAACTTACATTCCAATATCAACCAGGTGGCAGCACAGTTTGGGCACAAAAGTGAACAAAGCACTCTTCCATCAACCACCCGAGAGCCAAGGGTTGTTGATGAAACCAGTATGGTCCCCAGTACAGTGAAACTGTCAACACCTACACATTTATCGACAAGAGGTTCCACTAGTACGTTTGTTAGCACAATTCAGGCAATAACGGAACAAAGCACTGTGGCATCTACCGTTCAAGTGTCCACACTGTCTGATGAAACTACGATGTACTCAAGTACAAAAGAAAGGTCTACATCACCATCGACAGTGCTAACAACTGTCAGCACAAAAGAAATTAGTTCGACGACCAGCAGTCCAAACAATCTTATGTCTTCGACACTGGCAACCACCACGGTTACAGGCCCAAGTACAGCCGACATAACCACAACCCAGACAGAAACAACGCTCCGAAACAAGGTATTGGTTTTATTTTCATTAATTTCTGATATTTTTGTTACGTCAGTGCAGAATCAGCCCGGTAATAGTTCATATAAATATTCGGCATTGCCCTTTCTTTTTTGAGACCCAATATGCATACATGAATATGACTATAATGCAGAAAGAAGCAAAGTAAAGTTTACTAAGTAAGTACACAACGAAGCATTATCATTACTTTCTGTATATTTGTATATATATATATACACACACACACACACACACAAACACACCTATATATGTGTGTGTGTGTGTGCGTGTGTATTCTTTTGATACGTTTGTCTTTTTTTCATTACAATTTCCTTCGCCCTCGCAGCTTACACCAACTACAGAAATCTTACCTACGTCAACCCAGCCTGACGGTAATACGATTTTATTTAGTACCCGCTGTTTCATTTCAACCTAGCCTGGCCAGCTTAATATAGTACAATGCTTCAAGAACAGTACTCTGTTTTATTTTGATTTGGCACAACCAGTTTGATATAGCACAACGCTTTAAGGACTCGCCATCATCACATCATCTTCATACATGTATATCAGGCATCTTTTCATAACTATGTAATGTAAATTTTTGTCACGGTATTTTGTCGCATAGCTGTTATCATATGTGGCGTATTTGTATGCAAAATGACAATTTTGTATTTGCATATATATATTTTTGCAGACTTCTTACCAACGTCAACTGAGTCAGAAGGTAATGCTATTTTACTTTTAATTAGTACCCCCTGTTTCATTTCAACCTGGCCTGGCCAGCTTGATATAGAACAACGCTTCAAGAACAAATCATTGTCATCTTCACATTTATGGCATCTTAGATAGCTTTGTAATATGTATTTTTGCATTGGCGTTTTATTGTAGGGTGATTTTCGCTTATTTTCATCATAGTGTATTTTCATGCAAAACCTTCCTACGTGCTCAGGCCAGAAACTGGCCCCTTGCTCCCAATCAAAACGACAGTTTGATATTTTGCATGTCAATATTTTCCTGAAGATGGCTGCCCAAAGTGCGGACCAAATTCATTCTGTTTAACTACTGAAGAGGATTTTCGATGTGAGTGCAACCCAGGCTTCGTTTGGAACGGGACTTATTGTGAAGAATGTGAGTTGTTGTACCTATACATAGTTTAAGGTATAGTTTGGCATCCTAGTTAAGGCATTTGTTGTATTGTCATCATAAGATCCTTTGTTGTTTTTCGAAGAAAGTTGAAAAGTAAAGTTAAGAAGTTGATCTATAGACATTTACGGAGCAGAACGTACGTAAAGAAAAATCTAGAGTATAACTTGATTGCTTCTATAACTTAGTCCTGTTGCTTTATCCAAATAAACGAACTCAATAAAATATGTTGCAGATAACATAAGTCATATAATTTAGTTGCCAATACCACTGCATTAGAACATTTCAAGCAATTTTCTATTCTATGATTGGGTAAATTGTTGTCTTTTTTTCCACAGTCCCAGCTATAATTGGATTGGAACTCGTCCTCGAGGCACTAGAATGGGATCCTGAATTCTTGGTGGTTTCTAGTAACCAGTATAGAGGCATTTCCAGTAAATTGATAGACAAGGTGAGGAGTACTTTTGCGTTTTTTTTATGTATGATTCATTGCATTTTGTAGATAGATTGGTTAGCTGATCATTTGGTTTAAATGTGTTACAACACTTGAATGCGAAATGCATAGTTTAGATTATTAACTATTTAAAATACAGATCAAACTACATGACAGCTGATTTTCTTACCAAAGTCATTTATTACAACGCACTAATGCAATCAACTTAAAGGTATCAGTTTGCATGCCAGATAAAAAGTTGTTGTGCATCTAGTTAAGATACTTTCGTTATCTTCTCCAGATATCCGAGTACTTTACTCGCGGTCGGTTGAGGAAGATTTTCAGCAGCGCTACAGTACTCAACTTTTTCAGCGGCAGTGTCGTTTCTACGGCGCTTCTGAGCTTTAGCAGTCCTTGCGTGGAAATGGAAGAGGTGGCAAGTTTCTTGACTGAGTCGATTGCTACCGACGGCAACAACACACTAGGCCTCGTTTTACAGACTACCTACGGTACATTGTTTTTACTACCTTTTTACCCATTTACGCGATGTAAAAACAATATGAAATGAGCGGTAAACCTATCCTGGTGTTACAATAATTCATGGTGTACACAACAATAGATATTGCTTCGCCTACATTTTCATCTATATTTGAATCATGGATACATTGATCATTTAGTGTAGTAGAGTTTAGCTCTGTTTAATTACTTTACTAATATGTTCGTGTAGACTAAAAGCTAGAATAATATTGATACTTTATCCCATGCAGAGATTTGCTGCAATGATTATTGTTCCAGTGAAGCATCTTGCTTCTTGGTCGACTCCGACAGACAATGCAGGTAACTTTCTGTTTATTTTCATAAAGAGTATTTTAAGAACGCAACATCCTTTATTGAAAAAAACATGTTATATTATGCGTGCTAATTCATTTGCTATCAATCCCTTTACAGAATCGGTGACACAACTGTATCGAGCCCCTGTGAAGGTAAGATCTTTGTGGACATTTTCAACTATACAAGATACTTTGTTTAAAAAAATACATCACCATTAGAACCGTGATATCAACCGATCAACATAGCCCGGCAAAAATAAGACAGAAAGTACTGAAATTAAGTGTCAATAATGATGATTATAGACCTTTATTGTACACACATACATGTAATAGTTCATTTAAATATTCGGCATTGCTCTTTCATTTTTGTATTTTGTCGCATAGCTGTTATCATATATGGCGTACTTATATGAAAAATGACAATTTTGTATTTGCATATCTATACTTTTACAGACTTCTTACCAACGTCAACCGAGCCGGAAGGTAATGCGATTTTACTTTAGACCCTCTGTTTAATTTCAACCTGGCCTAGCCAGCTTAATATAGTACAATGCTTCAAAAACAAATCATTATCATCTTCAGACTTCTGGCATGTCTTAGATACAATTTACAAATCTTTTATAAGATCATTGTTAGAGTATGCTGACATTGAGCAACCTTGTTACAAATGACATACATAACTGCATCCAAAAAAACAGACATGAAATTCACACCATAAAAAAACCCCCCAAATCCCGACAGATATAATAGCAATACATTTCTAAACCAAGATCATTACTCTCATTGTCACAATGACAACGTAGGTGTGTTTAAGTTACCCACTCACGTTAATATTACTTTTCGGACAGAACGACCGAGCACAGACAGTATGACTACATCGACAGCAATATCACACACCCAAACAGCACCTACATTCTTAAGCTCTACTTCTTCATTTGCAACAACATATCCAAGTGCATTGCAAACCTCGAAACATGTCAGCACGCTTGCTGTCACTACAGATAAAAGCGCTATATCGACGACCTTACCAAGCACAGAACATTTCGCTCAAAAAACTCATATACCAACAACAGATATAACACAAAACTTACCAACACAAGAACAGTTATCCACTGCAAGTACGACCGCGCTAAGGACCAAACTACCCACAAAGCTAGTAACAACAGAGCAAAACACGCTGACGCCCTCCCTGGCACAGACAACCATGTCTAGTACGACAACAGAGACGACAACAATGTCTAGATCTACGACAGCAGAGAAAATTACGACTGCGCAAAGAACAAAAGTTCCCACAGTGCAGCTAACAACAGAGCAAAGCACTGTGACGCCTTCCTTGGCAGAAACTACTGTGGCTAGTACAACAGACATGGCTACCACATTCGGATCTACTTCCCCCACGACAACGAGTAGTCCCGCAAGCACAATGATTGTCTCCTCGGAAGGTCCTTCTACCGTAGTGGAGACTACAAGATATTCGACCACTGGTACAACATATGGAATTAGCTCGACCACGAGCAGTCCAAGTACATCAATTCTAACAACTACAGGTGCACCATCCACACCTGAACATCAAAGTACCACTTTGGAAAGAACTACTTTCCGTACAGTGCCAGCAACAACAGATCGAAGCACTGTGACATCGACTCTAGAAGAGACCACTCTTCCCAGAACAACTACGGACCAGACAAGCACACTTGAACCGTCTTCAACCAAATATTCAACAGCAAGTGCTACAAGCACTCTTGAAAGCACATCCGAAGGTCGTTTAACTAGTGTACAGTCTACGGCCTATTCTACAGCTGGCACTACGACCACAATAAGCTCGACAACAGGCCCAAGAACGTCCGTCTACTCGACAGAGCAAAGTACCACCGCGCAAAGGACCAAACTTCCAACAGTGCTTGTAACAACAGAGCAAAGCACGTTGACGCCCTCCTTGGCACAGACAACCATGTCTAGTACGACAACAGAGACGACAACAATGTCTAGATCTACGACAGCAGAGAAAATTACGACTGCGCAAAGAACAAAAGTTCCCACAGTGCAGCTAACAACAGAGCAAAGCACTGTGACGCCTTCCTTGGCAGAAACTACTGTGGCTAGTACAACAGACATGGCTACCACATTCGGATCTACTTCCCCCACGACAACGAGTAGTCCCACAAGCACAATGATTGTCTCCTCGGAAGGTCCTTCTACCGTTGTGGAGACTACAAGATATTCGACCACTGGTACAACATATGGAATTAGGTCGACCACGAGCAGTCCAAGTACATCAATTCTAACGACTACAGGTGCACCATCCACACCTGAACATCAAAGTACCACTTTGGAAAGAACTACTTTCCGTACAGTGCCAGCAACAACAGATCGAAGCACTGTGACATCGACTCTAGAAGAGACCACTCTTCCCAGAACAACTACGGACCAGACAAGCACACTTGAACCGTCTTCAACCAAATATTCAACAGCAAGTGCTACAAGCACTCTTGAAAGCACATCCGAAGGTCGTTTAACTAGTGTACAGTCTACGGCCTATTCTACAGCTGGCACTACGACCAGAATAAGCTCGACAACAGGCCCAAGAACGTCCGTCTACTCGACAGAGCAAAGTACCACCGCGCAAAGGACCAAACTTCCAACAGTGCTTGTAACAACAGAGCAAAGCACGTTGACGCCCTCCTTGGCACAGACAACCATGTCTAGTACGACAACAGAGACGACAACAATGTCTAGATCTACGACAGCAGAGAAAATTACGACTGCGCAAAGAACAAAAGTTCCCACAGTGCAGCTAACAACAGAGCAAAGCACTGTGACGCCTTCCTTGGCAGAAACTACTGTGGCTAGTACAACAGACATGGCTACCACATTCGGATCTACTTCCCCCACGACAACGAGTAGTCCCACAAGCACAATGATTGTCTCCTCGGAAGGTCCTTCTACCGTTGTGGAGACTACAAGATATTCGACCACTGGTACAACATATGGAATTAGCTCGACCACGAGCAGTCCAAGTACATCAATTCTAACGACTACAGGTGCACCATCCACACCTGAACATCAAAGTACCACTTTGGAAAGAACTACTTTCCGTACAGTGCCAGCAACAACAGATCGAAGCACTGTGACATCGACTCTAGAAGAGACCACTCTTCCCAGAACAACTACGGACCAGACAAGCACACTTGAACCGTCTTCAACCAAATATTCAACAGCAAGTGCTACAAGCACTCTTGAAAGCACATCCGAAGGTCGTTTAACTAGTGTACAGTCTACGGCCTATTCTACAGCTGGCACTACGACCAGAATAAGCTCGACAACAGGCCCAAGAACGTCCGTCTACTCGACAGAGCAAAGTACCACCGCGCAAAGGACCAAACTTCCAACAGTGCTTGTAACAACAGAGCAAAGCACGTTGACGCCCTCCTTGGCACAGACAACCATGTCTAGTACGACAACAGAGACGACAACAATGTCTAGATCTACGACAGCAGAGAAAATTACGACTGCGCAAAGAACAAAAGTTCCCACAGTGCAGCTAACAACAGAGCAAAGCACTGTGACGCCTTCCTTGGCAGAAACTACTGTGGCTAGTACAACAGACATGGCTACCACATTCGGATCTACTTCCCCCACGACAACGAGTAGTCCCACAAGCACAATGATTGTCTCCTCGGAAGGTCCTTCTACCGTTGTGGAGACTACAAGATATTCGACCACTGGTACAACATATGGAATTAGCTCGACCACGAGCAGTCCAAGTACATCAATTCTAACGACTACAGGTGCACCATCCACACCTGAACATCAAAGTACCACTTTGGAAAGAACTACTTTCCGTACAGTGCCAGCAACAACAGATCGAAGCACTGTGACATCGACTCTAGAAGAGACCACTCTTCCCAGAACAACTACGGACCAGACAAGCACACTTGAACCGTCTTCAACCAAATATTCAACAGCAAGTGCTACAAGCACTCTTGAAAGCACATCCGAAGGTCGTTTAACTAGTGTACAGTCTACGGCCTATTCTACAGCTGGCACTACGACCAGAATAAGCTCGACAACAGGCCCAAGAACGTCCGTCTACTCGACAGAGCAAAGTACCACCGCGCAAAGGACCAAACTTCCAACAGTGCTTGTAACAACAGAGCAAAGCACGTTGACGCCCTCCTTGGCACAGACAACCATGTCTAGTACGACAACAGAGACGACAACAATGTCTAGATCTACGACAGCAGAGAAAATTACGACTGCGCAAAGAACAAAAGTTCCCACAGTGCAGCTAACAACAGAGCAAAGCACTGTGACGCCTTCCTTGGCAGAAACTACTGTGGCTAGTACAACAGACATGGCTACCACATTCGGATCTACTTCCCCCACGACAACGAGTAGTCCCACAAGCACAATGATTGTCTCCTCGGAAGGTCCTTCTACCGTTGTGGAGACTACAAGATATTCGACCACTGGTACAACATATGGAATTAGCTCGACCACGAGCAGTCCAAGTACATCAATTCTAACGACTACAGGTGCACCATCCACACCTGAACATCAAAGTACCACTTTGGAAAGAACTACTTTCCGTACAGTGCCAGCAACAACAGATCGAAGCACTGTGACATCGACTCTAGAAGAGACCACTCTTCCCAGAACAACTACGGACCAGACAAGCACACTTGAACCGTCTTCAACCAAATATTCAACAGCAAGTGCTACAAGCACTCTTGAAAGCACATCCGAAGGTCGTTTAACTAGTGTACAGTCTACGGCCTATTCTACAGCTGGCACTACGACCAGAATAAGCTCGACAACAGGCCCAAGAACGTCCGTCTACTCGACAGAGCAAAGTACCACCGCGCAAAGGACCAAACTTCCAACAGTGCTTGTAACAACAGAGCAAAGCACGTTGACGCCCTCCTTGGCACAGACAACCATGTCTAGTACGACAACAGAGACGACAACAATGTCTAGATCTACGACAGCAGAGAAAATTACGACTGCGCAAAGAACAAAAGTTCCCACAGTGCAGCTAACAACAGAGCAAAGCACTGTGACGCCTTCCTTGGCAGAAACTACTGTGGCTAGTACAACAGACATGGCTACCACATTCGGATCTACTTCCCCCACGACAACGAGTAGTCCCACAAGCACAATGATTGTCTCCTCGGAAGGTCCTTCTACCGTTGTGGAGACTACAAGATATTCGACCACTGGTACAACATATGGAATTAGCTCGACCACGAGCAGTCCAAGTACATCAATTCTAACGACTACAGGTGCACCATCCACACCTGAACATCAAAGTACCACTTTGGAAAGAACTACTTTCCGTACAGTGCCAGCAACAACAGATCGAAGCACTGTGACATCGACTCTAGAAGAGACCACTCTTCCCAGAACAACTACGGACCAGACAAGCACACTTGAACCGTCTTCAACCAAATATTCAACAGCAAGTGCTACAAGCACTCTTGAAAGCACATCCGAAGGTCGTTTAACTAGTGTACAGTCTACGGCCTATTCTACAGCTGGCACTACGACCAGAATAAGCTCGACAACAGGCCCAAGAACGTCCGTCTACTCGACAGAGCAAAGTACCACCGCGCAAAGGACCAAACTTCCAACAGTGCTTGTAACAACAGAGCAAAGCACGTTGACGCCCTCCTTGGCACAGACAACCATGTCTAGTACGACAACAGAGACGACAACAATGTCTAGATCTACGACAGCAGAGAAAATTACGACTGCGCAAAGAACAAAAGTTCCCACAGTGCAGCTAACAACAGAGCAAAGCACTGTGACGCCTTCCTTGGCAGAAACTACTGTGGCTAGTACAACAGACATGGCTACCACATTCGGATCTACTTCCCCCACGACAACGAGTAGTCCCACAAGCACAATGATTGTCTCCTCGGAAGGTCCGTCTACCGTTGTGGAGACTACAAGATATGCGACCACTGGTACAACATATGGAATTAGCTCGACCACGAGCAGTCCAAGTACATCAATTCTAACGACTACAGGTGCACCATCCACACCTGAACATCAAAGTACCACTTTGGAAAGAACTACTTTCCGTACAGTGCCAGCAACAACAGATCGAAGCACTGTGACATCGACTCTAGAAGAGACCCACTCTTCCCCAGAACAACTACGGACCAGACAAGCACACTTGAACCGTCTTCAACCAATATTCAACAGCAAGTGCTACAAGCACTCTTGAAGTACATCCGCAGGTCATTCAACTAGTGTACAGTCTACCGCTCATTCTACAGCTGGCACAATGACCAGAATAAGCTCGACAACTGGCCGAAGAACGTCCGTCTACTCGACGACACTCTCTGAATCCACACCTGTAGAGCAAAGTACCACCGCGCAAAGGACCAAAGTTCCAACGATAAAGTTATCAACTGGGGAAAGCACTTTGACACCTTCCTTCCCTGAAACTACTGTGGCTAGTACAACAAACATGGCTACCAGATTCCGATCTACTTTCCCCACAAGTAGTGCCACAAGCCCGACAATGACCGTAACAACACCTGACTTAAAAACTACTTTTAGGACAGAAAGACCAAGTACAGAAATTCCTAGTTTTCACCACTTTACAAACAACCCAATCTCCAGTATTTACAAGCGAACTAGCAACCACAAGAAACATACAACTAACTACTACTTTTGCAACGCCACGACCAGTTACTACTAGAAGCATTTCTTCCACCATTTCAACACAAGAACAAACTAGCACAGAGGCATTTACCCCTACACAAATGAGAGACACCTCTCTGTCTGTCGCTGACACAGCTTCTACTACGCTTGAGAGAACAAGTGACCTCAGTACTGACCACACGACCAAAGTTCTGTCAACCACAAGCACAGTTCATACACAAAGTGAACAAAGCACTATACCATTCACCCGCCAAGAATCGACAGTTATTGACAAAACCACAATTATCTCAAGAACAGTGGAACTGTCAACACCTACACAATCACCAACAGGTGGTTCCACCAGCACATTTGCCAGCACAATTCAGGCAATATCGGAACAAAGCACTATGTCATCTACCGTTCAAGGGTCCGCACTACCTGCTGAAACTACGACGTACTCAAGTACAAAAGAATCGTCTACATCGCCAGTGCCAACTACAGATATTTTAGCAACGTCAACCAAGGCGGAAGGTAATGCGATTATACTTAATACATTTATTTACATGTAGGTACACTCTGGTTCATCTCCATTTGGTCCGGTCAGCCATTACTTTAGTAACCCAAAGCACCTTGAGAACTCATTATCATCTTCGTGTGATCTTGGGTATTTTAATACCTGCGTAGTATATACTTGCTGTCGCCGCGCGCTTCGTGAATGCCGAAGGCCAGTTATACTGTTTATACAGATGTGTGTCAAGGTAATTGTTGCAATATCATCACGTACCTGTATGCAAAACGACAGCCACATCTATAATTTGTACATCTATATTTTTCTAAAGATGTCTGCCCGAAGTGCGGACCTAATGCTTTCTGTCTAACTACCGAAGAGGATCCTCGATGTGTGTGCAACCCGGGATACGTTTGGAACGGGACGTTTTGTGAAGAATGTGAGCTGCTGTCTTTTTTTTACTTTTTTCTTTAAAGAAAATTAAAAAGCATTTGAATGTTAAAAATGTGAATCTTTAGCAGATCTATACAATTATTGGAAAGGCTTCATGTCAGTAGAAATTATTATTGAAAGTATGAAAGTATTGAAATAGGGATTTCTGTAACAATCCGTGCGAGTAAGAAATTCTAGGAAAGATATTACAGATACGGAGATATGTTTTGTTTGTCGTTACTAATACCACATTAAATCATAAGAATTCGTCTGATTACTTGGACAAATATTGTTTTAACAGTTCGAGCTACAATTGGATTGAACCTCACCCTCAAGGCCCTGGAATGGCGTCCTGAATACTTAGTATTTTCGAGCAATCAGTTCAGAGGAATTTCCAGCATACTTATAGACAAGGTGAGCTCCTGTTAATTATGTGTATGTATTATGATATTGTATATTGGACATTGACTGATTGACTGGCCATCTAATACCCCTCCCTCTTGCAAAGTCATATTTACTACGTTTTTCACTTTTTCACCATGTTTTTTTTACATTGCAATTGATTTTATCATCATTCTATATCAGTTTTCTTTTATTCTACTAATTCGTTTAAATTCCAGAATAGAATTTGTCATCTACATGACAACAGTAAGGTATTCACATGGCTCGTTTCAAAATGGATTTTAGAAAAGTTCTGTTATTGTGTATATACACGCAGTAAACATTCTTACCATCGTTATTTTCTTCAGATATCCGAGTACTTCACTCTGAACAGGGGCACGGCGCTCGGCAAGATATTCGGCAGTGCTGCGGTGAAAAGCATTTTCCAAAGCAGTGTAGCCTCCACGGTGCTTCTGAATTTCAGTACACCCTGCGTCGAAAAGGAAGAGGTGACGCGTTTCTTAACTGAAGTGATCAGTGCTGACAGTAACAACACACTCGGCATCGACCTACAAACTGCCTACGGTACTTTGGTTTATATAATATCGATACTCATTACTTGCTGAAATGATGCATTATACGAAGCATCAAAAGCAATCAAAACGTAAAAACCAATGATTCAATGTTCCTAACTGTCAAGATGATACGGGTTTTAGATCTACATTTTGTACATTTAGGTTCAACTTGCAATGGACAAAGTGATTGTAACACTAGATAAGCTTGTTAATTATGCAGACCTTTTCTTTCAGCATGTGCAATATTCTACAGATTTGTCCATTTAAACTGCTAACAGTGAAACGTTGTTCATTTCCTATCTTCTACAGAGATTTGCTCGAGTGATTACTGTTCCAGTGAATCAACTTGCCTCGTCGTCGACTCTGACAGAGAATGCAGGTAATAATTCTACATGGACAAGATTGTAAAAATAATCGTAAATTAATGTTTAAAGAACTGATTGTAAAAATAACACAACTGATAACTGAACTGTTTATGGATGTCATTGATGTTGATAAAAAACGCATTGTGTGGTGCACGTTATTGATTTTCCTTTTATCATTTTCTTCACAGAATTGGTGATCTCGTTGTACCGAGCCTCTGTGATGGTAAGACGTTTTTTCAGAGTACCGTTGCACTCCCATCAATATCTATCATCTAACTTTCTATATTATCTGAATGATTCTGTAACCTACAGTTACTGTAGGTTACAAAATGTTTCCCTTTGAGGCAACTTCTGCAATATTTCATTTAAACAGTGATTCTAACGCCAGTTTTCAAACCACTGTTACAGCATCAGTGACATCTACGGGAATGCCGTCCACAGTATCAACGGTCTTGAAGTCCAGCGCTGCTGTCACTACAAGTCAGGTATTCAGAACAACTGATCGATTTAGCACAATTAAGCCAACCACCGAACAGGCAACATCACTTACATCACCCTCAACGACTGAACAACCATCTACAGTTACATCTACACGTGACCAACAAACCACGGACGTTACCACCTTTTCAACGGCTTCCATAACGACTCCCCCTTTTGCTTCTACAAGCGTGAATTATCAACAGACAACACCTTCTAAAACACCCGCTGTATCTACACACCAGGCGACCATTTCTCCCACAACAGAAGAGGCAGTTTCCGACCAAACACAGACTTTGACCACCAAAGAAACCACAACCTCAACCACCGACTTGACGACTTTTGCAACATCCCGACCGACTTCACAAACTACAGCAATACCAACAACTTTTACTTCTGCTTCGACTCAAAGTACAAAACCGGAAACGACTGCATTCACCTTCAAACCAACCAGCGCATTTCCTGCTGTTGCTCCTACCACAGAGACACTGTCAACAATCTTAGCCACCACAGAAACAACCTCTCGGACTAGTCGCTTACAAACAACCGGCATACAACTTTCTACAGTTGCACACACTTTATTGCCTACAAGTGAATCAGTGGGTACTACAGCCAAGCAATCCACTACTTATGACCACACCACACACCCGTACTTCTCAGCATTGCCATCGACTTCGCTCTTACCTACAACTGTTTTACCCACACAAGAAGACACCACCACGGGAGGAAAACACACATCTCCACCTGCTACGAGCACAAACGTCAAATCAACATTTACAGACGAAACAAGTTACCTTCCTACGGACCACACAAGTCTAGAAATAACTACACCTCAAACAACGATTTGGGAAACAACTGACGAGGGTACACCTTCTTGGACAGACAAAATAACAACAGAGCAAAAAACAGACATTCCCACAGTGCTGGTAACAACAGAGCAAAGCACTTTGATCCCGTCTTTATCAGAAACAACCCTGTCTAGTACAACAGTAGACACTACAAAACTTTCTAAATCTACACCGGTACAGCAAAGTACGACTGCACAAAGGACAAACGTTCATACAGTGCAGGTAACAACAGAGCAAAGCACTTTGACACCTTCCTTGGCAGAGACAACAGTGGCTAGCACACCGATGGAGATGTCTACCACATTTGCATTTACTTCAGCGAAGACAAAAAGTAGTGCCGCAAGCACAGTCGGTGTCACAACGAAAGGTCCTTCTACCGTTGTGGAGGCTACAGAACATTCGACTATTGGTACGACATATGGTATTACATCTACAACAAGCAGGCCAAGTACAACTATAAAATCCTCTACAGGTGCACCATCTACATTGGCTGGTCAAAGTACAACCTTGCCAAGAACAACTTTCCTTACAGTGCCGGCAACAACAGATCGAAGCACTGTGACATCGACTCTTCAACAGACAACCGTTCCTGGTACAGCTACAGGACAGACAAGCACACTTGAATTGTCATCCACAAAATCCTCAACAGAAAGTTGTCACAAGCACTCTTCTCAGCACATCTGAGGGCCATTCAACTAGTGAAAAGTCTACAGCGTTTTCGTCAACTGGCGCAACCACCGGACTAAGCTTGACAACTAGTAGCTCAACAGCTTCAGTCCATTCCACAACGGTTCCTCAATCTACGACGGCAGAGAAAAGTACGACTGCTGAAAGGACAGACGTTCCCACAGTACAGGTGACAACAGAGCAAAGCACTGTGACGTCTTCCTTGGCAGAGACAACTGTGGCTATTACAACAGAAACGCCTTCCACATTTGCATCTACTTCTGCCACGACAAGTAGTGCCAGAGGCACAACCGGTGTCACGACTGAGGGTCCTTCTACCGTTGTGGAGACTACAGGACATTCGACCACTGGTACAACATATGGTATTACATCTACCACAAGCAGCCCAAGTACATATATCCTATCCACTACAGGTGCACCATCTACACCTGCTGGTCAAAGTACAACCTTACCAAAAACCACTTTCCGTACAGTGCCGGCAACAACAGATCGAAGCACTGTGACATCGACTCTTCAACAGACAACCGTTCCTGGTACAACTACAGGACAGACAAGCACACTTGAATTGTCATCCACAAAATCCTCAACAGAAAGTTCCACAAGCACTCTTCTCAGCACATCTGAGGGCCATTCAACTAGTGAAAAGTCTACAGCGTTTTCGTCAACTGGCGCAACCCCCGGACTAAGCTTG